GCAGTTCAGTGGTTCAAATCCATAGTGCCGTGTAACGGGGTGAGCTCCTGTTACTTGTCCCAGCTTCTGCCAACCTAGCAGTTCGAAAACACATAAAAATGCAATTAGAAAAATAGGGACCACCTTTGGTGGGAAGGTGACAACGTTCCATGCACCTTTGGCGTTTAGTCATGCCGGCCACATGACCACGGTGAAGTCTTCAGACAACGCTGGCACTTCAGCTTTGAAATGGAGATGAGCACCGCCCCTTAGAGTCAGGAACAACTAGCACATATGTGCGAGGGGAACCTTTATTGTTGAAAGGCTTTAGAGAACTTCTAATTGATTGTTCCCAAAAAAGCATAACAAATGCTTTAAAATAGAGTTTAAAAAAATATTAGCTTCTAGTCAGAAGTCATTCAGCATATTTATATTTGAACCAGTATAGAACAGCCATGGATAAATCCACTGCCATCCACTGCCAAGCAACTGAAGAAATTTCCAATTACCCAGGTTATCCTGAGAACAACTTTTCTGGCAGCATTCCAACCATCTTTGTGTTGGCTATCATTTCGTGTTGTCATTTAATCAATTCCAAAACTTTTATTTTCTCTGGCAATAGTCCAGTTTGGGTCAGAATTTTTATCCATACTATTTTTGCTCCAAGTCTGATACATATACACACATCTTATGTGCCTATAGAGGGTGGGAAGAAAAATGGAAACACATAAAAGAGAAAATGAAGCAACTAAAGATAAGTACACTAGAAACTTGCCCTGGATACAATGTGATGGAGAGTATTCATAGCATTAACCATAGTTTATTCCAAGTTCTAGATTTGTGCACATATTGAATACTAATATGCTTTAAATCCTTTTAAACGCATGCTATGATTTATTACAAAGATAATATAAAGTGTCTGGGTTAAAGGGACTCCAGAAAATCAATCAGTGAATGAGCAAATATCTGTATTTGCTATTAACCAGCAAAATGGTAATCATGTTGTGTTTGTGCAAAGTTTTTGGTTTTCTCTCAATCAAATGAATCATGAGTTTCTGGGAGACACACAGACTTTCCCAGATTATACTAATTTAAGAATCAACCCACTTGAGGCAGAAGTGCAAATGGACAAATACTACATTACATTACTAGGTATGAATTGCAAGGTATGGATTTCAATATATGATCCAGAGTTCTATCTTAAATTTGCTGCATGCTGCATGCTGCATTAGTGAAATGCAAATACTCATTGCAGACAAAAAAATGTATGCAGTATTCAAATGCATAGACCTCTACTAGCAATTTAGAATGACAAAATTCAAAAATTACTGATTATACAAACTGTCTCTCTTGTAAGCTTTACGAATCTTAAGTAGACACCAACCAACTGTAAACTCGGTCTTATGCTTCATTATATTTTGTTCACAAGTCCTGACACTGAAAAACAAACTCTGATTAAATTTTCATTTAGTTTTCTTCTTACTAAAAATAAACTAGGAGTGACTGGAAGTAGAGTCTTTCTAGTTTCTACTGAAACAAGAAGAGCAGACAAACAAATAAAAAATGACTAGAGTTATAAGCTTGACCTTTCAATATAGAATTAATTGTTAGTTATTCAAGTAACTATCTGAACATAGAATCTGTCTGCATTTCAAGTCTTTGCAGTTACACTGTCAATCATTTATTGTCAAACAGCAGACAGAATAACAATATAATACCAATTTTACTGCAAATATTTTTTGAAATGTTTTACATGAAAAACAAATAGTTCAGTGAATCTAAACATAATCCCTGTGAATGTGGGAAGGGACACCACCCTAAGTATCTCTATTCATTTCCAGAATCTTCCATATTTTAAATTAATCTATATATATTTTCTTAAATCTGAAGTTGGCAGTAGTTTTGGTATATCAAGTGAGATCAGGCAGATAAGTAATGCTAGCAAATGAATGTATACATACAAAAGTGATGCGGTATTCTCTGAAATGTATTATGTTTTCCAGTTTCATGTACCACAAAAGACAATACAGAATGAAAATAATTAATTGGTAATTCCAAACATCCATCACTTTGCATAATTGTTTCTTGACCAAAAGCATACAATTTGATTAATAATTTTTTCATGACAGATACATTTTGATAGAAAGTGTTAATATATGGTACAAGTATAGATATATATTGTTCTACAGTTGTTTTCAGAATTTGATAGATAGCACATTTTTATGGTACCCTTATGCAGAGAGAGAGAGAGAGAAAGAGAGAGAGAGAGAAAAGAAAGGGGGGGGGAAGGGAGAGAAAGACCTGCTAAAGCCATGTGGTTCCTATTAGAATCCTAATAGTATTTTGCAAGGCACTGCTCACTGCAGCAGACAAATTCATTTTAGATAATTTAATGGATGGTACTGGAAACCAAATTCATTATCTCTCAAATCACATAGCTAGACATTGCCTGTATCCATGACACAGCTTATCAGTCTAAGAAAAAAGCCAAAAAGAAAGTAAGACAACAGAAGGGTAGGTTAAGATCATAATTTAGGTATAAAACAGAATCTAATTAAGAGACAATACAAATGTATGTACAAATAAAATGAATTGTACATACATTTTATACATATAAAATATTTGCAATCATAAAAATTAAAAGAGCAGCCCCCTAAAAAGTTCAATGCTGAATTTTTAAAATAGATAACCTTTGATATTATTGTGCTAAACTTTTAGCACCATCACTGAAATCTTGCTGATATTGCAGCTCAAGCTACTTGCTAAATCACATCTCTCTCATTCTTCACATTATTTACTGATGACTGAATCCAGGCTGAGATGGAGCTACTGTTACTCCCTTGTATTATAAATGCATGATAAAATACATTTCAGGTGAAGAAAATAACATGTACTCATTTGCATTTCCCCAGTAATCAGCAGTGTAGAACTGACTTTGAGTGCTTCTTCCATTTTCATACAAAATCAGAATCCTGAAATACTCAAAGCTGCAGCACTATTCTGTTCTACACAGTAGAAACTGCATTCTGTATCACTCAGTAACACACCATGGAATGTATCTCTGCATTATCACACAGAGCTTATGACAACTAAATGCTATAATTGTTTTTTTCCTTCCTTCCTTCCTTCCTTCCTTCCTTCCTTCCTTCCTTCCTTCCTTCTTCCCAGGGTTATTGGTTGAAACTGTACTCTCTGGCAAAACTGTATCACCTTCAAAATATGGTTTTGATATCTCAATAACATTTAAATATTATGTAACATTTCACATTTGACAGGCATGCTATCAATATTTTGTTTGCTGGGAGAAATGAACTAGAATATTATCCCTTTGCTTGCAAGAGGAAAGCAGAATTATACATGTTTACTGATGAGATAAATGGAACTTTTCATATTCTTTTCACATTCACTGAATGTGATATGACCTAGGTAGTATGACAAAATATATACATGGATCTTCTTCTGTATTTTGCGTGATATCTGAGCTAGGCAGCAAACGTGCATGAATGTTATATAGTTAAATGATGTCATTTAGGAGGAGGATGCAGCAATTGCTGTGTGGTATGCTGTATGAAATTCTGTACCTGCATATAGCACATCAGTCTCTGCAGAAAAATAAGTAATACTAAAGAAAACCAGGCAACATGTTGTCTAGCGATCTTGCATATTGTGTAAACGGACCTGTTCTGTATTGTAGTAATGCAGATAAGCTTGTATGATGGGCTGTTCCTGTGCACATGACATTTACAGGTTTTACTAGGGTAAAACTTCTCTGTACTACCCATCTGTAGCAAACAACATGGAGTTCTGTCTCTCCTTAGGTTATGCTAATATGAAGGCTAGAAAGCTCATCTGATATGACTGAAAGGCAGGGCATCAATTATTATAATTTGTGGTGGCACAAGATGATGCGGAGAGGAACGTAAAGGAATTTGATATAAGCAGGGAGCTGAAACAGAAGGTGATCGTCTGGCAGTGGGTCTGTGACAGAGAGCAATGCAATCAAGGGTGTCAACAAGCTTGTTTGATGACAACCTTGCCCGTTGAAGCAGTCCCTTCCTTTGCACTTGCGCGCACAAACCTGACTTGGTCATTTCCATTCCCCCAGCGCAAGCTGCTGAAATGGACCTTTTTTTTAAAACAAAAAAAAATGATGATCAGCGTTGGAGTTGCCTCCACCCGACATGGTCTCTCTCGTCCCAGCCGCGCCTCCCTGGCGACCCAAATCCCCACCGATCGCAAGGTAGCTCCTTCTTCCCAGGTGTCAATAATAACAAGCGGAATCCCAGAATGGGAAAGCGCGCGTATTTACGCGGGTTTGTGTATGTGCCAGTGGGTAAAAGGGTGGGTGATTGTAAGCGCCTGCCACCCTCTCTACCTCCGTCCGCGGGATCCGTAGAGCGCACCCACCTGCCGAAGGCGTGTCTGGCTGGATTGGGGCGATGTCCCGCCTCCAGGAGGGCCAGGGGAGGAGGGGGAAGCCATCTTCCGTCCCTGGGCTGAGTCTCCGATCCGTCGCTCCGCTTGTTTCTCCAGTCCTAGGAAAGTAATCGCCTGGTAGCAAGTGCCGCCAACCGCCGTCTTCTACTACTAGTCCCTAAAAGCAGCGCTGAGCTCTCCGTCTCTCTCACCTTCCTCAGTGACCCGTCGCCCTTCTTCTTTCCAGCCTCGGGCAAAAAAAAAAAAAAAAGGACTTGGCACAGCCGGTCAGAAAGCACGCCCGAATTCCCCACAGCTGCCCGCCTCCGCCTGCGAGGAAGTGGACGGGGGAGGCGGGAAGCGCGGGAAGGGCACGCGACTGGTCAGGGAATGACCTTCCCCGGGAAAGTCGGAGACGCAGCCGCCGCAGCTGCTGCTGCTTCCTTGCGCTCTGGCGGCGGGCGGACGCCGTGGCGCTCCTTCAGCGCCTGTGCTCAATCTGTTCCTCCAAATCTTGGTGCAGCAGCAACAGCTTCATCTGCGCGCGTGCGTGTGCGTGGTGGACTGGGGAGAAGGAGAGGAAAAGAGGACCAGCGCTGGGAGCACCGTTTCTCCTTCTCTCTCTCCCTTGCGACGCGCGCGCCCGCGCCCTCACACATACACACGCGGAGCGAGAGGGAAAAGCTGGATCGAAGAAAAGGGGAGGCTACGTTGGCGATGAGGTCATGGACAGCGCCTTGAAATACTGCCGGTGGCTGCCCTGCCTTTACCGGCTGGCCCAAAAAAAAAAAAAGCGAGGAGGGAGCGGGGGCGTGGAAACGGAAATTAAGAATCCCACCCATCCTACCCCCCCCGTAAAATAAACGCCAGAGGGCCGTATACGGTCCCGTATAGCGACGTTTCTTCTCAACGAATTGCAGGTTTGTGGCCAGTCGGCGCTCGCCACAAAGCCGGCAGAGGTGTGGTCGCCCAGGTTTTTTGCTTCTGTCCTCGGCAAAATGGGGGGCGGTTTGACAGAGCAAGCCTATTCAGGTTACCTTAGTGATTCCCAAATCCTAGATTCTAGGCTAAAGCGACCTTTTCCCAGTTGTCGCTTGTGGCCGAAGCTTGATTCAAACTCTGCTAGGGAGCCTTCTTTGGCTCTAGGATTGCACCCCAAAGCTAAGCACGTTTTACCGAGTGAAACGAAGACATCACAGCCAATTTATTTGGGGCTAAGAGCCCCATTAGCTCCATAACCATCAGAAGGCAGGACAGGGTTGTATGTGATGTAATTTTTAAGCCCACTAGCAAAGTGGAACTTTCCTGATCTAGGGTAATATATCTATCTTTAAACAGGCTTTTAAGTGCCATGTAAAAGGATAGATGTTTAACTTCTATTTTTTTTTTTATTTTGACAGCCTTTTACTTTACATTTTGATGCAACATTTTGTTGCTGTGTTAGTTTATTTTATAATTTCTCTTGTTTTCCAGAAGATCAAAATAAAAGAATGGATCACTCAAGTCTCCTGTTAGCACAGTGGTCATCCATGGAAGCATCAAATAAATACAGTATCTGTTCTTTTGAAGCAACAGGCAGGAATCACAGGTAGCAAGTGATACTTGGATATATTTTTTTTATATTGGAAAAATGCAAGATCTGTCTTTTACACTGTCTCTGGAAAACATCAGAATATATGATTTTTAAAAAATGGGAACTAGCACCTTGGAAGATGGAGGAATAGCAAGATTCTATTGGGCTGGCTACCACATTTTCTCTGACAGCCTTTATTTTCAGATCCTTAGAAAAGATTCTTTTTTTCTCTATCCTGTTCTCTGTGGCAAAGCTGATGAGAACACAAAGAAGAAACATTTTAATGGCTGTTCCTGCCAAAAGATAGAAACCTGGCTCCATATTTGAGGGCTTTCTGCCAGCAAGCAAGGACATTTTATGTCCAGACAAGTAGAGAAATGTAAAATAAAAATAAAAATAGGATCAACCATTAGATGATGCAAGCTTGTTGACTGCTTTATCCTCAAAAGTTATTGATACATTGAAATGGAAATTTTTAATACATTTGCTTTAATGTAGAAAAAATTCTTATAAATAAATAGACGGGTATTGCCTCAAATCTCTCATTTTTCTGTTTTAAATAAAAAGCACCTCCAGTTAAATCTGTTTAAACTTGAAACCTTAAAAGTGTAAAAGGGAAGGCAGACGAGCAAAGTGTTGGCTCTGCTTGATTCAGCAAAAAAGGGTTCCCAGAATTACTTGGATCAAGATATTTTTAAAGATCACATCTTGTTTCTAAAAAAATCAATAGTCTTTATAGTGCTTTTGGTTATATTGGGATGTAAATGGCTTCAGTTCCACAGACAGCTCACCTGATTCTTTTTTCTCTTGCTTATATTTCTCATTCAGAGCAATGCATATATTAATAATATACATATCACCCATCTATCGATAGATTTGCATATCTGTCAGTTTTCTTTATATTTTAGCAAACAATTTGACCATTAATATATACTTTTGGCAAACAATTTGACCATTAATATATACCATTAATATATACTTTTTAAAATGCAACTTGTTTTGAACAACAAATCTTCTCGGGATCACATGATTCAAAGTCTAAATCTGTCATCATCTAGTTATTTGTGTTTCCATAGGAATTAAATGCTATTATCCATTTATAATTTTCTGTCTGCATTACTGCTTAGTACTCCATGTCATTTTTCTGGCTCCATCAATCCAGATAGAGGTTTGCATGAAAAATCAACTTTCCTGGCTTTAGAAATACTGAGGTGCCAGTTCAGAATCAAGCTTAGCAGAAATACTTTTCCCTAACTGATCTGTTTTTATCATAACCCAGAGATCTGGAATCTAGAGTTCTCTTGATTCTTCCAATAAAAACCTCCTGATTTGGCATGCAGTCACCTTCAAGACCTTTACATTATAAGTAGTACTTGCTTAGGTAATTGGGACTGGAATTTCCATCACTAAGCAATGCAATCATAAAGAGCAGTGTCACATGACCATATCACTTAGTGATACAGCAGTTCTTGCAGTCTCCAATTACTGTCATTAAGAAAAGGATCCAAGGATCCAAGGATCATTAAGCAAAGACCTCACATGATTGAATTTTGACTTTCTGTCAGCCTCCCCATTGACTTTCCTTGTGGGCAACTGGCAGGAGTCACAATCATGTGACTACAGGATACTGTGACAGATGGAAATGTAGGCTGGCTGCCCAAATCACATTTGCATGTGGGTACTGGAGCTACTGGAACTTTGATGTCCAATTGTAAGTAGACTTCAATTACAAGTTCAAATGGTCACTAAACTAATGGTCATTAAATGAGGAACATCTGTATATCCAAAAGTGGTTGCAGAAGAAAATATATCTGGCAGGATAAGCAATCTGTGTGGTATAGTGTATGGTTTTTAATGGCCTGGAATAGCTGCGTTGTACTACTGTAAGCCAGCAAAAGGGGAAAAAGAGGAAAGGAAACTCAATTTTGTGACCACTAACTGAAGGACAGGAGGCCCTTTGGAGAGATGGGCAAAAAATATTCTAGTTTAGAGTCCATTTGGAAGAGGAAATGTTTAAGGTAAAACCCTACATCTACCTTTCCCTAGGAAAGAGAGACAATCTAAAATAAGATCCTTGTAAACCGGTGATCAACAGTAAATGTATCTGATCCATTCTTGAAGCTGTTCTGGTTGCTTGCACTTGACAATTCTAACCTTGAAGTACAGGTGCAGTCCGATAAACTGAGCTGGCTGCTATGAGAACTTTTGCAGATGTAGTCTATGTCCCATGCTGCCTGTCTAACCCAAAATTAGAAAAATGGGAGGGAAAATAAGGGCTATAAAAACTGTTCTAGGAGGAAGTGGTTGGAGAGAAAAGTTGGGGAGTAAGGTTGACATGCATGTGTGGAGCATTCATTGGTTCCCAGATTGTAGAAGAACAAAAGTCAACACATGGCTTCCCTGGCAGAAGAGATACGAAGTCCCAGAGACACAGAATCTTCATCTGAGACAGGAAGAAGGTAAATGGCTCACTACATATAGTTGGAGTTGATGTTAAAGTCCTAGTCTCTGGCAAATGATGGAGCAAAAGACTCCTGAGAGAGATTGTCTCCCAACAGAAGAATAGCAGATAATGATCATCTGAGAGGATCAATGGATAGATGAGCAGTACTGAGCACATGTATGTTTAAATCCAGCATATTTCTTGCTTTTATTCTGTTGATAATTCCAGAAAACTGGGACAGAAAAATTAAGGAAAAGGGGTAGGAAGTTAAGCATTTGCGAAAGTAACAGGAGAATTCTCTCCAAATACTGCATCAGCTGGAAGTTTCACTGCACAGTTTCATGAGCACTGAATAAAATATTGCTGGATACATTGGCGCCACCAGTACTGGGTGAATTAATTCTCTGATAGGCACATGCAGTTAATTTTACCATTAACAGTCTCCAATGTGGAGTAAACATTTAGTCCTTCAATGCCAGATCCAACAGCCTATTTTCCAAAGCATTTTAAATTTGTATGTTTTTCCCAGTAAATTACAATTTTTTTTCCTTTTAATCTTGTTTCCAGTAAAGGTTAATTATTGTAATGTTGTATTTTATTGTACTTTTATTGCACATTACTCCGTATCCATCAAGATGAACAGGCTAATAAATTGTAAACAAATGAAAAAGACCCAGGTGCTTTGTCAAATTTCTGATTGTCAGTAATGTTTACCAATACTTTGATGTAAATATTATTCCAGATGTAGTATGTTTTAGCCTACTTTGGATTAGTTTAGTCCTGTTTTCATAAGAGCAATAATTTCACACTCCAGTGATTCTATCTGAAGAAATGGCCTTTAGGTTTTACGTAACATATTTACTGTTTTATCAGTCCATAAAAACACTTGCATCATTACTATCTACTGCCAAGTTATTTCATGCATAAAGGTATTTACATAACACAGTTAATGTTTTACTGATATTAACCATTTTTATTCCTTCATGTTGCCTTTTCATCTTTTCAAAAGCTTTTTCAATACCAATACAATTGCTGTTGTGCCCTTTGATTTAACTATATGTGGCAAGAACTCCTTAGGTGACTCTAGGTAATAACTATAGCTCTACTCAATTTACTTCACAAAGATGTATTTATTGGAGGAATGGTGAGATATAAATATAATAAATGCAAATATTCTGTATAGTAACATTTATGATAAAATTCTATCTGCACAAGTTTCACTGAATGTAGAGGGACTTAATTCTGAATGTCTATGTATAGAAGTATGCTGTTATACTGATTTTTTTTCCAGCAAGGCTTCCCTATTAAGAGTTAACTAGCTACAGGTCTGGGACATTGGTTTGAAAAATTAAAATGTTAAAAGGAGAGATTCCTGTTGATTTTGAAAAATTAAAATCTATATGAAGATTAATAGCATGATTCTGAGAAGCCTTAATTAGGATGAAGTCCAACTGAGTTAGCTTCTGTAGAAAGTGAACCAAGAAATATGGGTTTAGTTTAGTAATGGATACTTCCTGGACTCCCATTCTTTAAAGCAATATTTCTCAACCTTGACAACTTTAAGATGTGTGGACTTCAACTCCCAGATTTCCCAACCTGTGTGTGTGTGTGTGAATGGTAAAAATGCTGATTTTATATGAGCTTATTCTAATTTAACTTCAGCTAGAAAGACATGGTTAGCTTAATCAGTGTAAGAAATGCCTACTTCTCTATTGTGAAGGTTATTCCTTCATGCATCTATTTATTTATACATTAAGCTATAACTCACCTGGTTCAACAGACATTAGTATGTAGATATGCTATGTATATTGCTTTATTTTCAATGTTAGGCTTATACGGTTATTTGTGAATTGTATTCATCTGTAATACTATTTTGATTTAACTTTTAGAAATTCAAAAAAGTAGTATGATAAGGAACAGAGTTAAGGGGAAGAAATACTGCAGAATATTGAATTGTAAATACATTTACTGTAAAATCAATTTGCATAGACAAAGTAGTAAACACGAAGTTTCTTTTTAACTTAATGAGGCTTTTAAGATGTCTTAATTGTGGATTTTTTATAGATGCAGCAAATTCTCAGACCCATATCTTAATTAAATGGGATTTATTGCCATATTGGTGAAGAGTGATATATAGGAATGCAATTTCAGCCATATCAACACCAAAAGCCAACTATAAGCAGAACATCACAGTAACTACAACTTATAGATACCTATTGCCATCTACATATATTAAATTAATTCTAAACTTACATTGAGGATTTTAAAAGGCAGAAAATAAATCAAACTTTGAAGGTACTATAAACACTATTTTGAATAAGTTGCCTTTGGTTGTTTTTCTGTGAATGATGAAGTAATTCACTCTTTTTAATAAAAATTGAATAACTGCATCATAAGCAGCCATTGATCAGAAAGTCTGTTCCTACAGCACAGCTATTATCATTCCTCTCTGATTAAAAACAGCAAGTATCAAACATAATCTGTAAATGTATGATTCCATCTTCAGGTATGATGGAAATAGCTAATTAAGATGGGTGGAATCCTTTATGTTTTGAATGTCAGCTACTCCTCTCTGGTTTCTGATTCTGTGCTTATCCATCATGCAAAGAAGGAATACAATGAATTTGAAATTAAATGCCCTATTAAAAAGTGGATACTAATTCTAAGTGGATACTAGTATAAAAATGTAAGGAAACTCTTATTGCAATAATGGCGAATAGCTGTAGCTCAGATGTAAGATGAGGGTGAAGATTCATTCTCTGAGCTTGTTTCATTCTCCGAATGTTTCATTACCATGCTAGATAACATTTTCAGTGGAGTTTAGGGGATGTCAGTGTTCTTCTGCTTGTAAGGGCTTTGTGTGGTCAGTACGTCTTGTGATGGTGAGGTTGTCAGATGAGGGTTCCATCAGATCAGGGTCTTCTGATGGGTCATGTGTGGGTGTGTCAAGTGACATATCAGGGTTCCAAGTAACACCCCCAATGAAAGAAGACTCGGAGGCTTGAAGTTCCTCAAAGTTCCATTTTATTAGAGGTGCCATAATCTGAAAGCTTCTGTCCTGGCCCTTCTGAAGAAGGTCTGGACACAGCTTCTTTTGTGTGTGATGGGATGGTTGCTTAAAAAGCTGAAGATCTAGTGTGTGTGCATAGGTTTGCGGTAGATGCGGGTTTCCAGCTCTATATTGTCTGGTCTCCTTATATTGATGTCGAGGAATGGGAGTCTGTTGTCTGTTTCCTCTTCACTTGTGAATTTGATCCCAGGGAATATATTGAGTAGGTGGTGTGTTTCTTCGATTTGGGAGTCTCTCTTGATATACCCACACCTGACCCATCATAAGACCCTGACCTGATGGGACCCTGACCTGACATGACCTCACCACCACAAGATCTACTGACCACACGAAGCCCTTATAAACAGAAAAACACTGACACTGATGTCCCCTAAACTCTGCTGAAGCTGTTACCTAGCCTGGTAACAAAATGTTCAGAAACCAACCCACAAGTTCAAATAATGAACCTTCACCCTCAAACTCTTTATTATTTTCTATTTATTTCTTCTTATATGCTACCTGCCACAAAAATAAATGCTAAATAGGCTATCTGTATCTTTAAAAGCATATAATACTCTGTCATATATCAAAATGATCTTTTACTGAAATTATCTTTCGCAAATATACTTTTTCCACACTGGAGTAAAGAGTTATCCAACCGTTTCATTACTTATAAACGAAATTATGTTAATTTTACTTTTAAGCAAAATAACCATTCCCAAATAAATTCGTGAGAGACTGTTCCTCTGTCATCTCCTTTGTTGGAAGCTTAAGGAAAGCTGAATTCAAAAACAAATTGCATGAAGTACCTGCGACTATAGAGAAAACAGACACATATCAACCCCCTAGTAAGACAAATATTTTTTACAAAGACTTATAGAATCAGATTTATTGAAAGAGAAGAGAGATAACATTACCAATGACTAGATATTTTTCATTTTTAGAGCCCAATTCTTGTTGCTAGGCCAAAGCTTTCTTAATTCTCTTGCTATTGTTAACTATTCTTAAAATGTATAGAAGAGTTGTCTAGTTTCCTCATAAAGGAAGAATGTGCAGATGTCTAGGGTTTTTTTTAAAACTCCCAATCCTTTTTTTAAGTTTTGAGAAACCCATAGCATGTTTACACCTCTCCATGCTCCCATAAAAAACCTCCAATCTCACCCAAACAGGTTAATTGATTGATTTTTAAAGTAATGGATAACATAACCTAATAGATTTAAATTGGATGGTGTTGGAATAAAGTGGGAAAAATATTTTAATTTTTGACAACTTAAGACTGAATCACAAGTTGGAGATGAGGTAAGAACAGGAAAAGATATCTATGTCAAAACATGTTGAAGCATGATTTGTTTATGGAAAAATGGAAGTGCACACTGGTATTGAAATTACTTTTCAGAAGCAATTTAGATGAGTCTGGCGCAATTAAATAGCAAATTCTGACCAAAAAAAGTCCAGCATTCCTGTCATATATACAGATAAGTCCTCGACTTTCAACAATTCATTTAGTGACTGTTCAGAGTTACAACTGAACTGAACTGAAAAAAGTGACTTATGACCATTTTTCACACTTATTACCTTTGTAGCATCCCCGTGGTCACGTCATTTATATTCGGATGCTTGACAGCTGGCTCATATTTATGACATTGCAGTATTCCAAGGGACATGTGATCATCTTTTGTGAAGTTCTGACAAGCAAAGCAATGGGGAATTTAACAACTGCAGTGATTCACTTAACGAATGTGGCAAGAGAAAGTCATAAATTGGACAAAACTCACTTTAACAAATGTCTCGCTTAGAAACAAATTCTGGGGTCAATTGTGGTTGTAAGTCAAAGTGGAATGTATCTGTACATCCCACTTTATGGCCCTAAAAGGTTGATATGCTAGACTGAAAGGTCCCCGAGTCCAAATCTTGTTCTGTGCAAGTAGATTTTAAGCTAAGGCTGATTGACATCTATTGGGATTACATAAAAGTTCCTTTAAAAAGAACAAATACTAGTTAGACAGTGGTAAATGTCACAAAATTCAGGGGATTTAATTCTGAGTATTCTCAGGCTGCTTGGTTGAAATCCTGGTCCTTTACCTAAGGTTCTGAAATGTATATCTGAATTAACACTTATGTCAGACCTGGAAGCCTTAAATTATTTTATTATAAATAAATTATTATTAAATAATAATAACTTAAATTTTTAATGTCGAAACAACTTGCAGCACCTAGCTGGTTTTGGCAGACACTGAAAAATTTAAGTGAAGTATCTGGATGGTCAATCACTAAGGAATTCTGTAGCCAGGCAGGGAATTTGAAAGAAAACAATGACAAACCACTTCCATATTATTGTTGCACAAAATGGCATCATCAGATATTAAGCTCAATTTTAAAAAACCTACATTTTAAATAAGTAGAAGAATGGAATTGGCCACAAGAGGAAGGAGACACATTATTTTCCACATACCATAACCACTTGCCATTATACTAAAAATTGGTCATAAAAAAAATTTTTACTGGATCAGATTAAAAACTTCAATTAATCTTTAATTTTGTCTTCCAGTAGGCCAGCTATAGACCCAAAAATAGTAGTATATGTTAAAAGGAGATGGAGAAGTATATAGATTAAGTATATAAATACTTAATCCAGTTTATAATAGAAAATCATTGTTACCCTTCCTTATATTCAATATTCTAAGCCATCCTATATTGGCTATATTGTTGAGAATTAGAAGAAATGAAGCTATGTAGCTTGCAGGACTCCCAAGTTGGGGAAAGCTGGTTAAAACTATTGACTATTTTATTGGGTGCTAAATAATTCCATATGTTAGCTTACTTTGAAATGCTGTTGCTCTGGACCTATTTTTAACTATTGTTCTTTCATTAAAAGATGTAAATCAGAAAAAGGTTATGATAACTTATAATAATGTACTATAATAATTAATATAACTAATAAAACTAATATAACTATTATGACTGAAAGCAAAGGGTTTTTAAAAATTATTTTCATCATTTTTGTTAGGGTTAGCATAATTGTGAGGATAAGATCTCAAAATTTGAAAATTTTGTTGCCTTTGTGTTGTTAAATAGAAAGGGCTATTCAGAACTATATTTCAACACAAAGATAATCAAGTAACACAAGAGTTGGGACTAATTATTGTGAGCCTGAGAGCTATAAAGAGTTTTAGCGTCCACTGCAAACAGGAAAAAGCCAACTGAGTTTTGCATATACAGAAAGCTGCTGAACAAAATTACCAAATTCTTTCACTCATGTGGTTTTAATGGTATAAATATGAAAGTAAGTCATATATAAGACTTTTAAGTCTTAATAACAGACAACTCTGTATCAAGGAGTAGCCTGTCAACTGTGGTTTCTGGATAGTGTGGATTACACTCACCACTGCAAATACTTTTTAGGGCCTCCTTTTTTTAGTCTGCAGAAACAATTTTTCCTGCCATTAGTTTTGCACCAGAATTAGTATTTGCATTGTCTGCACCAAATCCAAAACTTATTTCTTAGCTTATTCCCGACAAAGTACTTAAACATTTCTCCACATATTGTATAACAGCTTTACGTCCAGAGATAAAATCTAAAAATTGTTATCTTCACATTCTTACAGAATTTTACATAAAATACTGTGTGAAATAACAAAATGAAAATAAATATTATACATTTTCTTTGCTATAACAATTTCCATATACTTAAGTGTATAAATAATTTTAGTTCAGAAATTAAGAATAATCTCTTCTTAATCAAGAATATGTCAGTTGTCCTTCCTTTGAAAGAATGCCTATACAATATATTCTAGTATCAGAGTAGTCAGTAAAAGTAAATGGAGGAAGAAGCTGTCTATTGATAGCTTTGGAATGTGCAGTTTAACAGCTAAATTTTCCAGGATGAGCTAGTGCTGTCAGTGAGCTACTTGAACTTTTAAAACACATGGAGCTACTTATATAATGGCTTGTGTTGCTGATTATGTCAGAATGTCAATGGTTGAAAAACTAAAACGTTTCTAAATTATTTTGCATATATTTTTCTTGGATTAGCAGAGAATTATTAGAATTTATCTTCTTTTCTTATTACTCTGATAGAAAAAATATACCAGTACAAAATTTAAAGCAAGAAAAAGCATTTGGACCGTTATGTTTGAAGCATCACAAGAACTTGCAGAAAAAGGACTTACAAAGTTAAAATGAAAACAACATACAGGTAGACCTCGACTTAGTTAGTGACCGTTTGAAGTTACAACAGTATTGAAAAAAGTGACATGACCATTTTTCACACTTATGACCATTGCAGCATCCCATGGTCTTGTCATCAAAATTCTGACTCATATTTTTGAGGGCTACAGTGTCCTTGGATAATGCAATTATCTTTTGTAAACTAGTGACAAGCAAAGTCGGTAGGAAGCCAGATTCATTTAATTGTGTTACTAACTCAGCAACTTCAGTGAATCGCTTAACAACTGTGGCAGGAAAGATCGTAAAATGAGGCAAAGCTCATTTGTCTTTCTTAGAAACAGAAATTTTGGACTCATTGTGATCATAAGTTGAGGACTACCTGTACAGGATATCTGGTATGTAAAAAGAGAGAATCTCCAGCCACTAAGGTAACAGTGAAATCTCATAAAACCTTACATGGGAGCATAAGATAATGTAACATCTGTATCTTTCTTTCTTTCTGAGAGCTTAAGGGAAACTGGACCATATATACACCATTCTGATAAATTCTTAAGAAGTTAGTGTCATATCAGATAAATAAAGATAAGAAAGGTGGAATCCAAGCCATCCAGACTGAGTCCAGGAAGATGGTACTTTGCAATATGGCAAAATACCAATCTTGTTTGAAAATATTTCCCAAAGGTCATGAGAAATAATGCTGATTACATCATTCATATCTACAAATTATCCTGTCATAGGTAGGATATGAGTACATGGATATACCACTGGAAAAGTAAAGGTATACATCTATGGAGCTGAAAAAAAAGATTTTCTTTCTTGTCCACAAAAAGAGGATAGAATGCTGTTTTATGCTAATTTTCTTTTGTATATTTCTTGTGATTGAACGAAGCTGCTCTAGAGGACTAGAAGAAAATTTGTGAGAGCTGACTAATGGGCCATAAGAATTACTAAATATTCTTTGCTTACTATGAAATAAAGCTTCACAGGCTCCTTTATTGTATACCAATAACAATACTGTTTTGGGTTACAAACAGAGAACATGGTGTTAAACTTATGTTCCTTAATCTATGGCAAGGAACTCTGATACTGCAAATAGAATAAAATTGATGATGTACAACTTAATTTTGATTCCATTTACAGTTTAAGTCTTTTTTCATGGAGTACACAGGGAAACCTGTGTTGCTAATTTCTCATCTTCCCCCTCATCAGAAAGCAAGACAATTTTCCATTTTAAGCAGACCTTTAGAATGAATTTTAGGATGTCTCATTCCCATTTATTTTAAGAAACAAATATTTCAGTTTTTTATTTCATTCTTACAACAGCTTATAAAAATATTTGTGCAAACATACACACACACTTGTTCAATGTAATCCTTCCAAACAGGCTCAAGTAGTATTCCATTCTATCAAATTCAGCACAATCTCATTTGTCTGTTTGCATTATGAAACAATGAGATACTTTATCATACATTTGTTTCTTCTCTTTATAAGCATTTCATGTAAGTCGTACATTTACTCATCCTCAGAGAAACGTATATGCTTGCTTATCTCTTGAGTCTTTGCCAGTCTCATTTTTTCAGCTTTTGCTATTAGCTATAAAAGAAAACATATATTGTATTACTATTTTAATTCAGAAAATATTAACATTATCCATAAAACTATCATTTGAAACAAAAAAGTTAAAATAAAAAAGATACTTTATTTGGAAAAGAACAGCTCTTCATATGTACTTCCAACTTAACAAAATCCTTTAAAAGGTTGGCTACTTAATCATTAATTTCATCCTCAAATATTTTTTTAAAAAGATTTGCAGAAACTTAGTGGGCAATATAGACTTACCAAATGAGAAAACCTTAGTAAGCAACATGATGGAACGGGGATTCGAATTTGGTTTATTTGGCCCCAATTAGTCTACCACAGTTTAGAATACTTCATTTGGCCAAGTGCGTTCAGACACACAAGGAATTTGTCTCCGATGCAGAGGCTTAAATCTTAGCAACTTCGACAAGGACTGAGGAATTCTGGATGGTGTAGTCTCAAACATTTTTTTTAACAAAACAGTTAGGATTTATTTTTGGACCCAGGTTATCCCTCAGTTTTATACACAATCTATAATATTTTTTAAAATAATGCCTAATTCTGACGAACATTGGAATTCTCAATAATTCTATTGCTAACCATGACATCAGGTGCCCACAATGGTTAGTCATGGCAATCCCTGCAGTCCCCATTGCTATTGTTAAGTGAGGTTCAGGGATCATTAAGCAAGGACCTCTTTGTAACTTTCTGCCAGCTTCCAACAGCTAAAGACAGTGGTGAAGGCAGCTTGCAAGCAGGCTACCCAGCAAGTAAGTAGCTGCTACCATATAGGAGATGGTATGTGGGTGACTGACAAAATGTAGCATGAGTTCAGTGAAGGTTGGGAAGGAGGAAAGTCAGGTAGGTGCAATGTGAACATGAGGTTCAGAGAGAATGCACAAGAATAGCTAGTTATGTGTGGCTCCCACACAGTGGGGGTGCAGTGAGGGTATTCAAATGGTCGGGGAGATGTGGGAATGCACAGTGTGAGTGTGGTGGGGGTGGATTCTGGATGGGGGATGGTACTGGTGCAATCTGTAATCTTCCCTGCCAGTTTGCCCATTGACTTTGCTTATGGAAACCAGCAGGGAAGGTTGCAAATAGCAATCATGTGACATCGTAACTGTGTTGTAATTGCAAGCTAATTACCAAGTACCCAGATTGCTATCATATGACTGGGATGGCCAGAACTTGGAGGACTGGTTGTAAAAAATAGTTGGCAACCAAGGAATACCTGTATTAATATTGGGCTAGTTAATACTGCTTTTTAGCCAAAATTCTTTTACCTTGATATTGTCAATTTAGTTTTGGATATTTGAATACCAATTCCCTTGTGCTGTTTAATGACCACAATAATGTTTTTTTTATTTCAGTTATTGGACAGGTGTTAGTATATTATATTCTAATTGTATTTGAGGAACTGTATTCCTCAAATAGTTTCAACAAAAAGTCTTGAGATATATTAAAGACTAACAAATGCATTACTACATATGCTTTTACAGTAGAATATGATGATGGAAAATCTGGGCAGTAACAAATTTGTTCACCTTTGAGATGGCACATAATTTTACTAGAGAACCCCTGAACTATCTTAAAAAATTAAAGCTGCTTTATATTGATCAGTAGTTCTAGCAGTTATGTCTAGCTCACAAGGGTTTATTCTGACTGGCATTAGGTGTCAAAAGTCTCAGTGCAACTGAATTTGTGCATCTCCCATTGAAAGAATGAAACCTGGGATTTTATTAACATCTATGTATGAATTAGGTGTTTCAGATCATTTGTCTTACTTTTTCCGTGCCCCGTTTCTTTTCTCTAGGTTGATTCAGTTTAGCTTGTCGGTCCACCAAGATCTTCTGCCAGTATCTTTGTTCATGATCACCTTAATACAAATGCATTGAACCAAAGTACACAATTTTACTTAACATGTCATGTCAATACATTATTATTCTTACATTAGAAAGATGTTCTTATCACACCCATAACAATAAAGAAATAGGACTAAACCGTGGTGGGAGATATGGGCAGAAAGCATGTTAATCCAAAAGCACATAAAGTCCTATGCATAAGTGGTACTCCTGATAAACCCATTTTTAAATCTCTACCTTAAGCACACAATATCATTAGACATGAGAAGTAAAACTGTCATGTACAGCCACTTCCCCCATTTATTCCTACTTGGATGAAAGAGACTGACATCTATAATTTACTTCTGTAGAAGAAAACATGAGAGAAAAGTCTGCAATTCTTTTCAAGTTATACAACATGCATCTTTTTTCTTTTTGTTTGTTCTATACTGCTGATTGTACTGCATGAATAAATAAAAATATTTTATTTTTAGTAGGAACTCTTAGTATAAATACTGCCTTAAAATCCTATCAAAAAGAGTGGAGAAAGAAGCGAAGAGCAAATATAAGAACTCAAAACATGTTCCTGATTTTACATTTGTTGAAATATGACTAAGAGGAAGGGAGATAAAATACAGTACAAATTGTACATAAATTTGAAAAGTCACAATTATAAAAGATAAATGAAATCTCTAATTATTTTAGTCCTTTCCATCAGAGATCATTTATTGAGTGACCCCCTTTTACATATTTGTTACTAACATATACATGGGCCTTAACATTTTGAAAACGAGCTAAAAATTAAAGGAAAGCAGGGCAAAAATTGGACTTGAATTTTTACTTGTTATGTAATAATTTTGATGGTCAGAGAATAAACTATAATGAGGGAATAAGGAACACAGCATTCTTAATAAGCTCGCCTGTTTATATACTACTGGACTACTCTCCATCATCCTAATTTAAAAGGGTGTATAGGCAGTCCTCGACTTATGACCACAATTAAGCCCAAAATTTATGTTGCTAACCGAGACATTTGCTAAGTGAATTTATTCCCATTTTACAACCTTTCTTGCCTCAGTTGTTAAGTGAATCACTGCAGTTGATAAATTAGTAACCCAGTTGTTAAGTGAATCTGGTTTCCCCATTGACTTTGCTTGTCAGGTCACAAAAGGTAATTACATATCCTTGAGGCACAGCAATTATCATAAATATGACTCAGTTGCCAAGTATCTGAATTTTGATCATGTGACCATGGGGATCCTGCAAAGGTCGTATCTGAAAAATGGTCATAAGTCACTTTTTCAGTTCTGTTGTAATTTTGAATGGTCACTAAATGAACTGTTGTAAGTCAAGGACTACCAGTATCTAGTAATTGGCATTCCAGACAAATTGTAACCCCTATTAACAGTGATTTCTTTTTAACAAAGTGAAATACATGGTTTAAGTTCCAGACACAAACATAAGTGATAACAGTTAGCATTACATTAACAAATGTAAAAGTATTCCCAAAATTGATATAACCTATGCAACCACATGAATGTAAATGTAAAACGTATAAACCTCACCTGTAAGGATCTCAAGTTTCCAGTTGTTCTTTGCCTGCAGATCTTTATGTGAGTTTATTAAAAGTTGTGCATCTCCAGGTGTTTTAACCCGTACATGACATTCTGTATCTCCTTCCAGCAGGTCAACATAAGCAACATCAGCGACTGTTGTTAGCATGTCCTAGGATGAAATGGATGCACCACAGCAGATACGTTATATTACAATCTCTTCTTAATTTATGTACTTGTTAAGAAGAGAGGGGAAAAACAATATTTTTAAATCACACAATGGAGACAAAAAATGTACAAAAATAAAATAAAATAAGCAAATGCTGCAAATCTGAGCAATACGATAATGCTCAAGAAACGAGTAAGAATTCCATTTATATCTTTATCTTCATGAAATACATCTTTACCTCCTTCACGCCATCTCTACCCCGCTCATACATACAGTGTTGTAGCTCTCTAAAATCCAATTGATTAGGACACAGATTTTCAAGATATACAGTTCTAATCAATGTCTGGCATGAAAGACCAGGGCTACATGTTAAGATCCAGTTAAACTGATTTGTTGGTCATACCTATGCACAGGAATCTAATGTCAAGGTTCCGACTAATTCAGCACTCCGAGACTTTCAGCTTTCTCAAAGAATTGCTTTATTGAGTACATCATTTCGGCACGGATAAAAATAAAACCAGCTCTAAATAATTCCCGCATTTTCTGTATAATTAAAGAATAGATAATGCCCTTCCTCATTGTCAAAGGTCACATTGTCCAATTAGGTGTTCTGGCATCTCTTTGGCAACTCCTCTCAGTCTCTGGCCAGCACCTTTTGAGATGACCTTGGTTCCCACGGGATGATCTTTTATGGCCTGACATTCCAGATGTTCCCCCTACCCCCAATGTGTGGCAAGCTGAGAAATGGAAAGATGGCTACGACAGGCCTGATCCGTTTCAAAGTTGACATCTAGTTAACTAATGGTTACCACTATTTTGGTGCTAGATAAGGGCTAATAGAATTTAAGAAGAGTTGGACTTAGTCCACCTGTAGAAATATAGAGACTCTAGGCTGATTCTTTTGACTCCACCCACAGACTCTTCCACTACTTCTCCTACAACCAGTAAACTTTTCATTTTCATGCTTTCTGCCAATTCAACTTGCCACTGTAACATCACAATAAAATGATTCAATAAATAATTTGATTACAAAATGTGTATGCCATTGTTCTGTTAAACCAGTGTCTTACTTTCTCTGTGAGGTAGCTCAGTTTACAAAACTTGTACAAGGCCAATAAGTGAATTACACGGTAATAACAAATGCTACCTATTTTCAAATTCTAATATATCTGGCACACATTGTTTAAAGTGCTTTATTTACTGAAATTAAAACCTTCTACTGTTTCAGTTCTTTAAGTCCTGCACATCCAGATGTGAATCACAATAAATATACTGTACCATAATTCACAAGCAAGAATTTATCTGTACTTTTCCAACTCTGAACATATAGATTCCATAGCAATTAGAGGCAATGTTTAAATTTTAACAACCAGTTTCAGATGATAAATCTGGCAAGATTACAGCCAAAATATTATTTATTTCTTAAATTTATTTGCCACCCATCTTACCGTGGGGCTACTCTGGTGGTTTACAACAATAAAAAGGAAGAAATGAAAAGTTATAAACATAGCAGAAGTAAAATAACAGAATAGTAAAATAAACAAAGAAAAAGAACAGAACACATCAATATAACAAAAAGATGGATGGTTGGAGAGCAGAGTGCAAAGCAGGAAGGTGTATTCTGCTATCAATCTAGTAGCCACCTGCACCTCTATATTTATTTATTTATTTATTTAATAAAATTTATATGCGGCCCTATCTCCGAGGTCTCAGGGCGGCTCACAATAAAACAACCATTTAAAAATATAAAATACATAATATATAATTCATATTAAAAAACCCCAAATCTAAAAACCCTTTCAGTCCAGGCTATATACTGTATTCACAGAAGAGCAAGTCAAACATTTTTACATTATACATTTCCTAGGTAATGATCATAATATTTAAATTTTTAAATATTAATTTATATTGTACAAAAACATTGTTTGTTCTATTAAGTACAATTCATTAAGTATTATACCCATGTTATAGATTGGATAGAAAAGTCTGAGGCTGAAAACAGGAGTTTCTAAAAATATCTAAAAAATACATAACAAAAGAACTATTCAAACTGGCAGATTTTCTATTTCATAGCTCAGTTTTTCAGCTGTCATCACAGATCAATTCTCTATGCCAGACTTTTAAAAAAGATTCAAAAGGATAGTTGCATGCTATCCACAGATTTTAATGTTCTATTATGAAAAAATAACAGAGATATTTAATATTAAGAGACACTCAGAGTTATTTTTCTGTCACTGAAGTATGCTATTAGTTTGCATTATGTTAGTAATTGCATATTTCAGACTGATCACATTTTAAAAAAAATGCTTTGTCTTCATATTAGATCTGACAATGAAGATGTATCACAGAAAAGAATTCAGATGCAAACTGATATTGAAATTTAACCTCTTCATTAAAAGTTACAAACCAATCTGTACTACCTATGGAATACTCATTAGAACAGAAAATATTTTTAATGTAAGATTCCAGCAATAATGTTAAACAGATTTATAATCCATTAACCAATATAACAAAAGGCATATGTGCTAAGTATCAGCGTTAGATATTAGGAGCAATCTTTTCTCAAATCACAAAAGAAAATTAATTCACCTCTATAGAAATAACGACAAATTATGACTTAAAAAGAATTTATTTGTACAGGCAAGCAACTGTTTTATAGCTAAGTAATTGAATTTTTTTTTAAAAAAAAAATTAATTCTACTTCCTCCGTTAAATAATCCAGAAGTAAAGATTAATTAAAGCATGTGCATCACTAGAGTAGCTGACAATCAGACTTTAAACAAAGTCATAATCACAATCCTCTCTCCGGGAAATAGTTCATAAATGTGAAAAATATATAAATAAATAAAACAGATATTCCAAGAAAAAGATAATTGCTTCTCTAAGAGCACTAAAGCATTACCTTGATGTGCTTCCTGCCTGGCAGTGGATCAGTACCAAGGATTTTCACAATCACTCCACTCTCAAACTGAGGTCCCATTGGATGAATCTTCTCAGCAGGAGCTAAATCATTGTTGCTGATACCTATTAATCCAAAAAAGAACATTCACTAGGTAATATAATTTTAAAAATGAGAGAGAGAGAGAGAGAGAGGGAGAGGGAGGGAGGGGGGATTTATGAACACATGCTCAATCTAAGAATGTGTTTTCATTATAAAGCAGCTCCAGGTTCTTTCATCTACAAGACATTAAAACTAACTTAATCAATAGGGAATCTTTTAATTTAAATTATTACTAAGTTTCAACAAGCTAAAGACATATTGTAAATAATAAACGGTCCAGGCTACGTAAAGGAAAGAACAGACAAAACTGAATACTTTCTAGATGTCGTCAATAGTGCTTAAAAATAGTCACTTATTTCTAATTATTTCTATTGAGGCACAGGTAACACTTGGCTAATTGATAACAAAACATATATAAGCATTGCAGACAAATATTGCCAACTATAGTTTAGCAATATTTGTTTGAACAGAAAGGAAATCATGCAATCAGTATCTCCCTCTACTGTCCTCCTGAACATTTACAAGTGCACTAGAATGTTGTTTTATGTTGATCATTCTAGACCAGTGGTTCTCAACCTTCCTAATGCTGCGACCCTTTAATACAGTTCCTCATGTTGTGGTGACCCCCAACCATAAAATAATTCCTAAAACCATTGAAAATATGTGTTTTCCGATGGTCTTAGGTGACCCCTGTGAAAGGGTCATTTGACCCCCAAAGGGGTCGCGACCCACAGGTTGAGAACCACTGTTCTAGATTGTTCACCAGGAATTTTGCTTTAAAAAATGCAAATGCCATGTGATACCTAAAGCAAAATTTAAGGGGAGTGGACAATACCAGGCCATAAAATAGTCACCACTGACTGATGCCCACCGGTTGTGGTAGATTACAATGGATTCCATTCCTCACCAGTAGAGCCACTGAAACCCCCCTTTGCAACTACATGAAATCTTTCCTGTTCTATCAACAAATACCATACTTTTCTATTTTATTTAATTATAGTTGAGTGACTCCATAAAAACCCAAATACAAAAACATTAAAATATTACAAACATCAAAACATTAACAAAAATTGAGTAAACAAGGAACCAGTACATGAGTAGGATGGAAGTTGCATTCCTCTTCCCCGTCCTTCAGGGTGGAATTCCTCCATAGGGGCCTCAAGCCAACCAGCAGGGCCAGGTTTTGAGTCCCTTTTGGAAGGCCAAGAGGGTGAGAGCAGATCTCACCTCCAGCGAAGGTGGAGATTGCACTGGTTGATTTTCTATGCAATGTGAACATCCTTTGTCAGAAGGCCCTAAAATGAACAAGTAGTCCGTGTCCAAAATGTATCTTCACTCCATGGAAGTTTGTTATTTTATTAAAATAAACCAATTTTGTAATATAATTTTAAAATTAAGTTCATATGTTTCTCAATTTTTCTTAAACTATAAGCCCGTCCTTAAAAAAGAAACACAAGAAATTCACAATTTTGTTTACATTTGCCATTTCTTGTTGCGGAGTCATCTGCCGTGCAGACATCTCTTTCCATTGTTCCAAGGGGCACAGTGTTTGCTTTGGTCATTGCTTTTTTCAGGGATGACATGCTGGCTTTCTGTAGGGTCAAATACTCTTGTTTCAGATGCATCCATTCATTCCTACAGAATGGAGATTGAAAAATGTTAACACAAAGGTTGGAAATGATGGGAAACAAAACGTTAAATGTAAAAAGAATGGAATTTCTTTTGTATACAGGGATGAAAGGTTCCTATTTCTCAATATGACATAACTGGTTCTATGATGATTTAAAAGAAAGGGTGGCTAAAACATTTATTCATACAGAAGGCATCTATATGACTTTTTGAAGTTCATTTATCAGAACTTCATATTATCTTTCTTAAAGCTTATATACTTGAGAAAACTGGTGTATTTATTGGAAAATGATTACATAATTATTTTTAATTTGTTTCTAAAATACTAAAAAAATATGTAATTCAGTTTCTAGAGCATCACCTAATACCCATTAGTTGCTAGGAGTCTTTCTAGGGATGCCAGGCTAGATATATTATGGATTGACCACAATATATTATGGAAAACCACAAGCAACTGTGTATATTTTATGTTTCTACACAAAGATTAGTTATGCATTAACTGTTTAAGAAAACTTAAATACTGTATAAAAGTTTGCTTGGATATTCACTCATCTTAGAGATCACTAGATCAAAGCTTGAATACATGTAGTCCTTATTCAGTGACTATTAAAAATTGCTATGGTTCTGAACAAGTAGAACTTATGACAGGTCCTTGAAGTTCTGGACATCCCAGCATCCCTGCAGTCACTGATCATGATCTGGCCACTTAACAACTGGTTCTCCTTAGCTACCAAAACACTTTCTTAATATACGTTTAAAAATCAAATGAGCATTTTACAGTAGTTAAAAAGAAAAAAAGTTCAATAAAAATAGGTTACTGTACAAGTATATGAGGAAATTTTATGGGACAGGAACTACAGGAATAACTGGTACAGGTTAAATGCTTAAGGTTGCTTGGCCATCTACAACACTAACATTTTACAAATCATTAATTCAATCAGAAAAAAAATAACATTAATTAATTAACAAGTCTTTAACACTTCTTATCCCACCTTCCTGATCAACAATGTAGGCAAACATACTATCATTTCATCAGAAACAGTAAAAATACTAGCTACTGTTCTCCAATATGGCAAACAAATCGCATATTTTTTAACATACTTTGAGAGAACTCTCAGTGGAATAACTTCTTCTCCCATCTTATGTCTCTCTTTATGTTTCTTCTTGTGTTTTCTTTTAGCCTTTGAAAGAGAAGTTTCTTTCTTATCACCAATCTCTCTTTCTTCTTCAGTTGAAATTTCTAAATAAAAATGGGTTAAAGTTACTATAAACAGCTTGCAAGGAGTTCAGGTCAGTGTATTTGATTCTATCATATGCAATATAATTTTATATTGTAGCGTAACTGATTAAGGTTGCCCCATGATTTTCATGACTGAACTTTGGTTTCTCCAACCCAGAGTGATGCACTCAAACTGACATTTTGATTAGTTTTAAGACATATCTGGCATCATTCTTCACTACACAGCAGTAAAATCCTCTTTTTAAATCTCACATTAAATTTCTAGCCTAATGCAAACATCTTGAAAACATCATGTATGCATTTGGAAATACAGAATTGCAAATATGTACCCATTAATAAATCTTTTTAAGCACACTTTAGATCACATAATGGGATTTTCTGAAGATTTCCTCTTCCCTACTTCATCCTATCCACTATATCAGGGCTGTCAAACTCCTGGCCCATGGGCTGGATGCGTCACATGCTTGCCACGCCCGGTTTAGCAAAGGCGGAAAAAGCCCTGATATGTCATGTGACGACACCGTCAGGACATGAGTTTGACACCCCTGCACTAGATACATAAAACACATTGCTGTATATGGATATGAAAACATTCAGCATTTGGACCAATGTCAGAATGACATCAGAATGGTAACAGTGGATTCAACCTATAAATTTTACTGGAAAAAAATAACAAAATTATTTTATTTTTTCTACTTTCATCATTCCAAGAAAGAGTTATAAAAAAAATAGGATTTTCTTTCCTTTTTTCAAGCTGGAACAAATTTTCATTCTCTTTCACAAAAGCATCAGTATCACTAGAATTTTTTTCCCCAACCCTGTTCATGTTTAGAAAATCAGTAGGAAAAATTAGAAATATAAAACTACCTTTGGAATCCTCCAGCCCTGCTGATTGCTCCTTTGCAGAGTGAACGTTATCTTTCTGAGAAATTTTCTTCACTTTTACAACTGACATCTCTCCATCATCAGAGCGATTCCGTTTCCTCTTTCCTGATCTAGTTTCTCCTAAACCCAAGCTTTGTGTTTTATCAAGTTTCTTCTTTTCTTTCTTTGAAGAGTGACGTTGGATTTCTGATAATTCTGTTTCAGAACTCTCTGATATTGTCCAATGACTTTTGGTGCATTCTGTAGAACTGGCCATGGATACATCTTTTACTCCAGTATTTGATTGGCTGTTTTCCTTCTTTGTTTTAGATTTTTTCTTTTTCTTCTTCTTTTTTTCTTCTACATAAAATAAGAAAATTTGTCTCAATAGTCTGAATAAATTACATTTTTGCCCTCTTTGATTCCAAGGGGTCTACAGAGGTGTTTATGGCTATTTATTTATTTATTAAATTTATTTGCTACCCATCAGCAGCTAAACAGTATAATAAACATTAAAAACATTAAAATCACCGAATATAAAATAACGGAATAGACAACATAAATTCATTAACATAAAATGGGAAGAGAAATAGCCAGGTATATGGAAGGGTGGAGGGAAGGGGGATTAGCTTTTAATTAGACAACTACCTCCAGTGTGAAAGTTCTCCATTGAGACCCCAAAACATCTGGCAGAATCAGGTTTTAAGGCTCTTACAAAAAGACAGGAAGGTGGGAGCCTATCTTATTTAAAGAGATTAAGATATTCTAATCTCCTCCTATGAGTTTTCACACTCCCCTACTCAATGAAGATTAAGGAATGTAATAAAACTAAACATTACCAAGTTAATACTCACCAACTACGGTCGAATCACTTGTAGGTAATGCAGGAACAACTTTGTTTTTTACTGTTTTGGGAAACATACCAGGTTTTCTTGGTGCATCTTCTGGTGGGTTATTCAAGAACTAAAAATGCAAAAGTCAGATAATATGTTATCTATTTAAACACATAATCTATGATGCAGTATACCTAGTCCTTGCTTAACACCATTTATTCAGCAATTTGAAATTATGATGGCACTGAACAAAGAGAGCTACCACTATGTCTGAAATTATTAAAGTTGCAGTGCCACCATGGTCACAACAGAAAGTCAGGCATTTGGCAGCATGCCCTCTCTTGCAATCACAAGGATGCTGGAAACCTCCCCCCTTGCATCTAGGCCGCCTGCACAGCAGCACTCATCCACAGCGCTAGACCTGCGCCTGAAGTAGTAGACTTTCAGCAGCCTCAACCAGCTGCGACCACCCCAGGTCATGACATCAGTCCTAACACCACCACTAATCACTCAAAAATACCAGTTGCAGCTTTCCACAAGGCTCAGCAGCCTTGAAGAAAGATTCCCACCACCATCCCCACCCCCCACCACCATCCCCACCCCCCACCACCATCAGCCATTGTTGAGGGTAACTACTTCTCTCAGCTTAGTATGCAACAGACCGGACAGCAAAGAGATTCGTTGCTGGTTAAACACACAGATACTCACAGACTCTGAACGGTAAAAAAAAACATTCTTTACTCTTAGTGAAAAAAACAAACTTGGTTTCTCAAAACAATAACATGTCTTCGAATAATCTCTCCCCAACACAAAACATAGTTTGCTTATAGTTCTCTTCAGTCACACACAGTCCCTCATCAGGAGATCAACCATCAAATAGCAGGAGCTCCCGGGCTTCCTGTCTACTTTTATGGCTGCCTGATCATAGCACAGCCAATCATTCTTCTTATATCATTTAAAGTCACAAACATAGTTTTCTATATATTACCTACCCAACCGTAGGATAAATATGCAACAGCCATCACTTCCAAGGATTTACCATGTGTCACTTACCTTCAGACGTTTTTCTCTTTGCTATTGAAAGGTCTGGACAGCTTATTTTATATAGCTCCTAGTTGTACCAGGTCTTTTTTCCTGAAGCCATCTTGAAACCAATTCTGGTGGAGCTTCAGAAGCTTTCTGAAGCATCAGACAGAGCATGCAGACCTCTTAACAGCAGGAAAAAAACACCAGAAGGATTGACAAACAAGTTCTATAGTGCCAGTGCCAGGAACTGGAAACTATTTAACATTTATAAAGTATTATTTTAGAGTTCTAAATGTTTATTTGACACTATTAAGACATTTTAAGTAGAGCACAATATCTTCCTTCAGATAACAGATTCTGTACTTTCAAGTTATATTGTAGTGTTAGTCTTTCAGTGGTTAAAAATTCACACTGAAAGACTGAAAAGATTCACACTACAACTACAAAGGAGTTTAACCACTGAAAAACTCACATTACACTACAAAATGTTTTATAAAAACAGTATTTTTATAAAAGCTAGAACTGTATATATTAAACAGCTTAATTAAAGACAAATCAATTTTTTCAATTGCTTATACCTCACCTCTATAGCTTTTTCAGCTTGTTCTTTTGTTTCAAATTCCACAAATGCAAATCCTTTAGGGTCTTTGGAGGTCTTATAGCGAGGAATGCTGATGTAAACTACGTTGCCACATTTTCCAAATACTCGTTCAATCCAACTGTGATTGACATTTTTAGGAAGCAATTCCTACAGCAAAAGTTAGCAACAGACCTAAAGCTACATTTTTTATGTATATATACACACAAAAAACACCAACTTTATTTGCACATCTATGCATGGACCATGATACTAATATTTTATCATTAAAACTAGCAATTAAGTGATGTGCAAACCCAGAAGTGTCACAAATAAATATGGCATCAATTGTTTATAACCAATTTTGGCAAAGAAATACATTCACACACATATAGGAATGCTCAGTAGTGGGTGGCAGCAATGGTTTATGATTTTGTATTTCACATAACAAATCTTTTATCCTATGCACACATAAAAACCCCAAGTAAAAAGTTGGGAATTATCTTTATTAATTCAACTAAATGCCATAAAATATTCACATTAAATGTTTCTAAAGAAACTATATTTCTTGATGCAGAAGAAATTTTCATACTTCCCTCACTGTCCCATAAATGTGTACCCATGAACTATTAAAGTCCCTGAATTTATTTAAATCTATAATTGGCTTAGCTAGATGGTTGCAACTGAAGGTCTTCTAGAATGGGTTGCAGTTTCTCATTCAGGTATAAAAAACTGGAAATAGGAAAAAAAAGACTGCAAAAGGTCAGGGGAGACTACAGTTCCAGCAAACAGTACTATAACAATTCAGTGGAGGAAAATAAGGTGAACTGGCTTAGTGGGATAGACTTGAAAAAAATAAATTAAGTAGGAAAAACATGAATATCCAATCTGGATATCCATTACATTTTAGAGAAAATCTAAATATTCAGTTCAATTATAAATAATCTCCTGATCTGGGCATCTCCAACATATATTCTAACCCAGCTAGTGAGTTGTAAGTGGTAACAGAAGGTAAGTAATAAGATAAAAATGATAAAAATATAATTATAGGTGTGTGTGTGTGTGTGTGTGTGTGTGTGTGTGTGTGTGTGTGTCTTCTCAGGTTTCACGGGTGTACGTAAAAAGTTAAAATCTCAGGTGTTTTCCCGCGTCATTAAAAATCTGTTAGTTAAAATGCTTAAAATCTTAAAATCCTGGCTAAAATCCCAGCTCAAAATCCTCTAAAATCCTAACAAAATACTTTGTAAGGTCTTTTAAAACTTTGGCTAAAATCCTAACCAACACTTTAAAAGTTTTTTGGCAACGTTTCGACAAACTCTCTAATTTGTCATTATCGGGCCCCTACTTTCAATTTAGAAGCTGTAAGTAAGCTGTGAGGTCGGAGTTGTCGCTTTTCTCTGTTCGCTGCTGCTGACGTATGCTGGTTAGCTGCAACTCTGTGTCCTGATTGGAGGGCAACTGTTTTTTCTCCTGCTTCATTATCATAGCTGCAGCCTGACTGCGTGTTAAAGGAGCCTGGATAGCTCACAGACAGAGCACTGTAATTTAACACCAGCTGTCTGCAATTAAAGTAAGATCAAATCTCGCCAGGCTCAAGGTTGACTCAGCCTTCCATCCTTTCTAAGGTAGGTAAATTGAGGACCCAGTTTGTGGGGGCAATAAGCTGACTTTGTATAAATATACAAAAGTATGAAGGCTATTGCTTAACGCACTGTAAGCTGCCCTGAGTCTCCAGAGAAGGGCGGCATATAAATCAAATTTAAAAAAAAAAAAAAGGCCCAGCTTTCTCTGGTTCTCTATTACTAATTGTCAACTGCAAAGAGAGAAGGATTCTGGTAGGCATCACAACACCACTGGTTGCCTGGTTGCCTTCTTGTACCAAAGAAGAAGTTCGTTCTCCCTTTTTCACTGCATTTTTGTGTTCTTCTAAACACACTTTTATTCATCTGTTCGTCTGTCCAATATAAGGTGACTGACAGGAGGCACATGGCACTTCGTATACCCCTTGATTTTCCAGCTCAAGGATAAAATTGTGCTAATGGAAGACGCACCATCCACTTTGGGGGGGGAAGTGCATCTTATACACCGAAAAATACAGTACATTGCACAATATATTATGGATTGACTGCTCTCTACCCCATTCTCACAGGATTAAGAGAAGGGTTTAAGAAAAGAGGAATCCTTCTCCATGAATTCAATCACTCATAAACTCTTATCCAATTGCCACTATCTACAGAAAAAAAATAGTGACCCTCAGTGCTCAGAAATTGAGGATTTTGCTTGAAAGGAAAGAGAAGGAGTTGGCAGACCAAGACTCTCCTGGCTTATGCTGGATGCTTATAGTTGTGTTAAAGAGAGCCAAAAATATTGTGCCAACTGGCTAAAGTTCTAAACAAGGGCAGTTGGCTAGCAAAAGGTGTTTTAAAATTCTATTTATACAAAAAACATTGAAATACTTAATTGGCTTTTTCTAAGGAAATATTAAAAGTTAAAAAGTGAAAGAAAATAGGCACTATCTTACCACATATACCGTACGACTATCCACATCTTTTGGCTGATCACCCAAAGGTTGCCGTCTTCTGATCCTGATTCCTTCTAAATCCAACTATAAAGTATAAAATTAAAAATCTGTTCCAAATATTTCCTCCCTTTGGTCTTACAGAATAAAAAAGTTTTCATACTCACTTCTACAACAGATGAACCTTTAACTGCTCGTGCTATCAATTTTCTGTCAGTGGTTAATTTTTTCATTTTGTTGAAGGAAATCAGAAGTGATATGTCAACATCTAAAATTAAAAGAATTAAAATTAGCATAGGAGATTGTAACAGGAATTAGGAAAAATTTGCTATACTGATCTTGGGAACTGATTGATAAAGAAATGCTCAATTTTTCTGATTGGACAAGAGTTGGAATAGTTGGTTTTAATGAAATTTGAACTCTTGAAATGAGATGTTTAAGGGCAACTGATCAGTCATAAGCTTGAGGTCACTATTGGGACTTTAAATAATTTACTTTACTGAAACAAAGAAGAGATAGAGTAAAATAATACAAAAATGTATACAATATGCTTCTTTTTGAGAAAAAACCCTGCACATTTAAGTTTTACAATAAAGCTTATGCTTAATTTAATTCATAAATTACTCCATAATTGATTTTAGTTTCATTACAATATTCATTACATTTCATATAACTGTACATAAATGCAATGTAACTATCAGATGAGATTCCAAGAAGGACTCCCATAAAAAAAATTCTACCACCATAAACACTTCCTATTTGTACAGCAAAACTGATAAAGTTTAATATATGGTGTTCTATTATATGAATGAACTATTATTTTAAAGTACAAAAATTTAATCTAATCAGAAAAGCAGCAGAGGGCCAGTTGTTTTTAAATAAACTAAATCTGTAATTGATATAGATATCTGTAATAATATTCATGAGAACAGGAACTATTTTTCAAGAATGTTTGTAAGCCAACCGTAAATTACCCTGTTTGAATTGGGTGGTTATATAAATTTAATAAATAAATTAACTGTATTTCAGTAATAATATATTTTTATTGCTAGTTAAAAACAAGCAGACTTACATCCATCTCTAGATTTTTCTATTTGTTCTCTGAGAAATTTGTCTTTGTGAAGATTAACATCACCAAACCAGAAGTCAACTTGTTTTGCTATATCTGAAAGCACTTGTTTAACTCTTGATCTTTTCTTTTTTTCTCGTTCCTTTCTCTGTTCAGTAGTTTCTTTCTCCATAATTTTGCTTCTTATATTTTCTGTCTCCATTCCTATCACACTGTCATCTGAAAATAAAGCATAATTGTCAGTTTCAACATAAATGCATCTACTTTATACTTACCGTATTTTTGGGACTATAAGACACACCTAGCTTTTGGGGAGAAAAGCAAGAAAAAAAATCTGTCTCTGACTCCCAGCAATTTGCCTCCTTGCAGCAAACGACCTCGTCAGCTTCAGCACAGCCTGATTTAACACGAGCAGTTGATTGGCAGTTGGATCGGCCTCCTGGAATAGCGCCCATCAGCTGTTTCAGGCTGTGGGGATCACCACTTCCCATCGCCGCCTCCGCGCACCCCATTTTTGGCCTCCGCGCACCCCATTTTTGGTCTCCACGCATCCCATTTTTGGCCCGTTCCAGGCAGTGGGGATTGCAGCGCTGCCGCCTATCCCCGCCGCCTGGAACAGGCTGAAAATGGGGCACGCAGAGGCTGAAAACAGGACACGCAGAGGCTGAAAATGGGGTGCACGGAGGCGGCAATCCCTACAGCCTGGAACAATTAATAGGCGCTATTCCAGGACACTGATCCAACCGCCAATCAGTTGCTCATGCTAAATCAGGCTGTGCTTAAGCTGACCAGGCTGTTTGCTGCAAGGAAGCAAATTGCTGGGAGGCAGAGGTTGAAGGGTAGGGGTGGGTGGGGCTTCGGCAACATTCACTTTATAAGATGCACAGACATTTCCATCCACTTTGGGGGGGGAAGTGCATCTTATACACCGAAAAATACAGTACATTGCACAATATATTAGCAAAGTAATTTTAAGAAGTGATCTTTTTCTTAGAAAATATATGTAGAGAGGAGCAAAACTGGAGGTGACTGCTCAGTGGGAAACAACAAGGGACTACTTTTGCAAATATGAAGCTGCAAAAAGAATAACAGCCTGGAAATTTTCAGTAGTAGTTTGCTATTCCACATTCCTCAGATCAACACTATAACTACATTATATTTTATTTCTGAAATATAGCATTCTGTCAAAACAATAGGTCAATGTGCATTAGAAAACACAAGCAAAGAATGAATAGCAGTTCTTGTTATATTTGCAAGACATACAAGTATCTGAGCAAATATATAAATATTAAAAGAGCAACTTAACAATCAAAAATAACCAGAGTCAATAGCACAAGTCCAATTCACACTTTGACCTCCTCAATAACTCAGTCCCAAGTAAAATATAAAGTGATAGTCTTGTGCTACCAGAAGGGTCCATTTCTGCCATATGCTTTATCACGGGAGTTAAATATTCTTTGGACAGCTACAATCTTACAAATGTTCTAAGGAGAGAAAAAAGTGCTCTTCAACATCAGCAAAAGTTTAACTGTTACAAAAGCAAGCATTCCAGGCAACACGCTCCCCATCTCTTTGCCAATGAGATAGTGATAGATATTACATTTTACGATCATATGCTAGAATATATTCAAAATGCACTTCCTGCTGTGAGATGGTCATTCAGTGCGATTAAGGATGGTATATTTCCAATTATAACACCAAAGGGAAACAAGACTACCGTTCCCCAAGTGGGCAAACACACAACACTGATGCAACATTTCTAATTAAGCTCTTTTACTTTTCAATATGTAAATATGCAGCTCGCTAGATAAATTAATGTATAAAATTCACCAGCAAAAAAGCTGAAGTCTCCATTTCCACAATCGCTGATTATCCCTCCGGGACGCTTTCAAGAACCCCCCGAAAAACACGCCAGTATTTATTGGAAACACAAATGTTTATACTGTTCATCCCGGCTTATTTTGACCTTCGTAGGCACTTTTCTATTTTTCCGCCAGAACCAGAAGTTAATGAAAGCGTTTTTAAAAAACGAAATCGGTTATTCCAGGCAGGACTGAAAATCTGGAAGGGCGATTTTTCGCAGGGCTTTCAAGTGCCGCAAAGCCTTTCCCTTTGCTTGGGATAGATAGAACAAGAGTACGAACTCTGATAAAGCGGGAAGATGAGAAGCTGCCCGTGGCAGCCAGTCGCCTCTCTCCCTGAGCAGAGACAGGGCCGAGCTTTGAAGATCCCAAAGAAGCTGCTAGAGCCCGGCCTCCCCCTTGAGGCTCCCCCAGAACTGATCGGGCTCTGCAGCCGGCGGAGGCTTCGTGTGGCTGCGACTCGAGTGACGGGAGCCACAGCGCAACGTTTCCGGAGGACACTAAGCGAGGAGTGTCAAGTCTAAAACACCTGAGGATCTCACCAGCTCTTCGGGCGGCGGGCAAAGCCCTCGAACGGCACCTCGAGCCGCCCTGAGGGAAAGCAGAGCACATCAGCGACGGCGGCGGTGGTAGCAGCCTTCGGCCAACCCATCCCCCGTGGCCCGCAGCCCGTTGCAAGCGCGCCTCCAGATAACGTCAGCAGCGCCACCATCTCGACGGTTAAAAGGGACTCATTCACGGCCCCGCCCACCCCCGCTCCTCCTCCCGCTCAGCACGCGCCTTGCCGATCTGCCCGCCCCCTTGATTCAGGTGCGCGTGCGCGAGGGAGGCCTAAGGGTTAAGAACCCCCCCAACACACACCCTTTCGTACCCACGTGCTCTCGAAAGGACCCAGCGCCAGGCACCAAGATGAGGGTTTCAGAGCAAAGTTATAGCCTAAACCAGGGCCACTTTAAGCCTGTAGGACTTCAACTCCCAGAATTCCCCAGACAGCTCTGCTGTCTGGGGAATTCTGGGAGTTGAAGTCCGCCAGGCTTAAAGTTGCCAAGGTTGGAGACCCCTAATCTAAGCTGCTTGGAAGCCCAGATTCCCCGCCCCGTCCACAACTTTAAGGATTAAATGCTCGCGCGACACGCTGGAGATTCCCCGCTCTTCCCGGTTTTTATTGGCTGCCTTGGAAGGCTGGAGAACCCCGCCAGGCGCGCGCCAGAATCCGTTTATAATATAAAATATAAACTTTATATAAATATAATATAATATAAAATATAATATAAAATATAATATAAACTTTATATGGAGGCGCGTCCAAGATTCGCAGCCATTCCCGTTACGGTTTCACAGAGATAGAAAAAGTTTAAACGTGCGCGCATGCGCGTGTGTTTAGAAGAGTGATTCTTTTTTTTTTTCCTCCAACCCCTCCCCCCAAGACATTTCAGTGATTTTCAAACTTGGCGACTTTTATTTAGAATCATGCTGGCTGAGGAATTCTGGGAATTGAAGTCCACACCTTTTAAAGTGGCCAAGTTTGAAAAACACTAACTAAAAATCAATCGGTAACAAGAAAATGTGCTTTTAGGGTCGATAATGCTAGCGCGTTGACTGTGTATCACTAGAAATTGGGATAAAATCCCGGTCAAAAAGACCCAAAGGTGACTTTTAGCTAATCATTCTCTCAACCAAATTCACCTTACAGAGATGATGTGTGGGTAAAATAGAGGAATATTAGGCATGAGCACTTATAATAAAGGCACGATAACAATAAACAATATTTTCATCTACCACATGGGTAAAAAATGCATGAATTAGCTGATCTTGGAAACTAAGCAAAGCTGACCCAATTAAGAGTTGGCTGGGGACGGTCTGGGATTTCATGCTTTCACTAGATTGCGAAATCTGGAAGAAAAATCAGAAGAAGACTGTGGTAAAAATGTGCTGCTGCCACCGGGACTCGACCTCGACTTTACATTAAATTCATCAAAGCTCCTTCCCTAGTACATATGATTAAAACTGCTGTCCCCGCCTCCTTCTGTCTAAACCAGTGTTTCTCAACCTTAGCAAATGTATGATCGCTGGACTCCAACTCCCAGGATTTCCCCAGCCAGCCATGCTGGCTGGGGAATTCTGGGAATTGAAGTCCACACATCTTAAAGCTATCAAGGTTGAGAAACACTGGTCTAAACTCACACTAGTACCGCTCTACCTTTATCAACTTTATGGTTTAAAACCCTCCAATGCTGTACTTTAAGGTCCATACGCATACGGGAGTCGGAGATCATGACGGACGGTGCAGCATTTTTGTCTCTATGGTTATTTGTCGCGTCGTAGAGACGTCATCGGGCTTGTGGAGCGGGAACTTTCGTAAGGTAAAGTTCGGCTGACAGAGAGGAGGGGGAGGGGGCTCTTCCATCCCCGTGGCTTGCGAGCGACTTCGGTCGACAAGATCGACAAGTTTATAGGCGCCCTTTTGCCAACTTGGCTGAGGACGGCGATATATTGATCCGTCAGTAGGTGTGATATGTAATTCGTTGTATACTCTTTTTAAAATGGTTTAACATCAGGTTTGGGTGCAGTTTCTTTCTCTTAGCCTCTAATACAGTGTTTCTCAACCTTGGTAGCTTGAAGATGGGTGGACTTCAATTCCCAGAATCCCCCAGCCAGCAGCGCTGGCTGGGGGATTCTGGGAGTTGAAGTCCACCCATCTTCAAGCTACCAAGGTTGAGAAACACTGCTCTAATGAAAGAGACAGCAGGTTCATCCAGTTCTCATTATCTTCTTACCGCTGCAGAGCTCAAGGCTATGGCAACTTGGGATGACAGGGGTGAACAATAATTGCTGCCCAGAGCCCCACTCACTCCAGTAATGACTGAAAAACAATAGTGCAGTTTCTTGTTATTGCGTGATAGGAAGCCCCTAAACGCTATAGCATATGTCATAAATAGGTTTAAGATGACTTTGTTTGAAAGACCTTCCACAAAAAAAAAGAAAAGAAAAAAGGAAATTTCTTGATCTATGCAGCATGTAATACCTTAGCTACCATATGCCCATATTGCATTTGAGTCTCAGTCCCACTCAACCTAAAGAAATTCAGTGTACGAAGGGTTGCTGCCAGAAACTTGCCTCTTTCTTTGGGGATTTAATCTATGTAAACCCAGTTCTTCCACAGAAGCATTTTGCAGCAAAGGAGACATTTTTCATTCATTCATTCATTCATACATACATACATACATACATACATACATACATACATACATACATATATACATACATTCAAGGTGTTAGTTATCATCTTTAAAGCGCTCCATGGCTTAGGACCTGGGTACCTACGAGACCGTCTTTTGCCACCAATAGCCTCCCACCGACCAGTTCGTTCTCACAGGGAGGGACTACTCAGGGTACCGTCAGTCAAATTATGCCGACTGGCGACTCCCAGGAGGAGGGCCTTCTCTGTGAGGGCTCCAACCCTTTGGAATGAACTGCCCCCTGAGATACGAAATATCCCTGATCTCCGTGCTTTCCCCTGTGCCCTCAAAACACTGAAGTTCCAACAAGCGGGGCTAAACATATGAACATGTGAATGTTTTTAAAATGTTATCTAATTTTAGGTTCTATTTAATTGGGCCAAACTATGTTATAATAATAATTTTATGATGTTTGTGTATCTATATTTTTCTTGACTGTACACCACCTTGAGTCCTACGGGAGAAAGGCAGTATAGAAATATAATAAATACATACATACATACATACATACATACATACATACATACATACATACCTTGCCTTTATTATTTTACCAAATAACTCAAGTTAACGAACATATTCAACATACCTTTCTCTTCCTATTTTCCCCGCAACAGCAACCCTGGGAGGTGAGTTGGGCTGAGAGAGACTTGCCCAAGGTCACCCAGCTGGTTTTCATGGCTGAGGCGTAACTCGAATTCACAGTTTTTTCCTTTCTAGTCCGGTACCTTAACCACAAACCAAACTGGCTCTCATGACATAAAAAAGGATGACATAAAAGTCATTCATAAATTCATGGGAAAAAAGCATGGTAGAAATGTAAGTCAAAATTGTAATTTAATGTCAAATAATTTGTTAATAAGATCAGGATGAAAATGAGATTAACAAAACAGGAACAACAATGTCAGGCATGTTTAGAGTTCAGGGTAAAATAAAAAATAGGTTGCAACTAGAATTATAGATATGTTTATATTAGATTTAGGAAGTCTGATTTGTAGTAATTATATGCTATCAAGTTAGTGGTGACTCTTGGTGATCACATAGGCAGGCCTTCTCCAGGATGATGTCTTCCCAACCTGGACTTTCAAGTCTCCCGTGGTGCACCCATTACTGCTGTATCAAGCCTATTCTCTTTTCTTCCATCTTTTCCAGCATCATAGACTTTTCAAGGGAATGTGTCTGAAATATAAGTTGAGCCTGGTCATGAGAACTCTGGATTGATCTGTGATTTTTTTAAATAGTCAATTAGCTTGATCATTAATTTCATTACATAATTATGAAGCTTTTCTGAAAAAGATTTAAGTGAGACATCTTGTGGTCATTACATGGAATTGAACATATTGAGAGAATGTATTAGATTATATTTGTTAAAAACAATTCAAAAGTTTTTTAAAAACCTCACAAATTGCAATTTAAGGGACATCATGTAGCTAAGGTTATATTCCTATAGAAATTTAAATGTATTTATTTAGCATATGGCAGAAATGTAAATATCTTAATTTAAAACAAGATTTATTTCTGAAGAAGTGTTTATGGTAATGTACTGTTTGGTTGCAATTTTAAAAATATTTGCTCTAGAACACAGGTGTCAAACTTGTGATGTCACGTGACGCTTCACTATACTTTTTCCCTTTGGAGACCTAGGGTGGGCATGGCCTGTGCGAGACGCATCCAGCCTGTGGGCCATCAGTTTGACACCCCTGCTCTAGAATAATTTTCATTGAAACTGGAATCCCTGGATGCACAGATGTAAATCATCTTTTGAACCAGAGAATTCATATTCATCATATATAGTTTGAAACAATATAAAATGGAATTTATAAACTATAATAAACATTTAGCTTAGAATTTCAGAGATGTTATTTTAACAGGATGTTTCCCTTTGCAGGTGATGTAATGATTGGAAGTGAAAGCAGGTGGCATGATCTTAGCATGCCAAAATAATGGCTTATCAGGAATTTTTTGTGAGTCTATAATCTTATTTATTTCAATAATATTTCGTACATTAAACATATGAAATAAAAATATAAACAAAATAGTGAAATAGTAATCAAGAATATATTTTCACATATCAATATAGGTTTTATACACACATCAGAAGACTAAAAAATCTAAAGTATGGCAAGATGGAATTTTGAAGGCCGGATTTGGAGGAAATAAGGTAAATATGTAGGTTCAGTTTGGTGGTACAGTGTCAGCAGTTTTATGTCTGTTAATCCATTTATATCTGTACTTAAAGAAATATCCACCATCTTCTATTTTTCTTGTTTAA